CATATCATGCAATGTCAACAGTATGTAGGCTTGTAGTTTCAAAGAGCTCCCCATGCTGTCACACTCCTCTTCTCTAAGCTGCCCCTCTTCTCCTATCCCTCCTTTTTGCCTCCCACCTCTCTTTGTAAAGAATGTCCAACTGAATGATTACAAATGTCCCCGCTTCCTGCTAAGATCTTTATCAACAGAAAAAAAAAATGTCATATCAAACTTTTCCTGGGTGGCTTTAAAAAGAAGAGGTTTCTAAATCATGCCACTAATCAGGTTTTAAAAAATGACTATAGTTAATGTAACTTAACTAATATAAGGTCAAATTTATAATACTGTAGAATTGTGTTCTGTAATCATTCTCCATGAGAGTCTGCAAATAATGAATATGGCCTGTCCATTTATATACTTCTGTGGCATTTTACTTAGGAGGCAAGCCATGTTAAGGCAGTGAGCAGCAGTCCCCAAGGATCTGGCTTCCATCCTCCACTCAACTCTAATGTGATTTCCAGAAAAATCTCTGTCTCAGTTGTGTCTACTGTAAGATGAGCAAGCTGAGCTATCTCTAAGGACTATAGAACAAAACTTTATGACTTAGAGCATATGTTTACTTTTAACAATCAGAGAGTTAAAATTTTTATGGCATATTGTTGGTAAAAGAAAAAATCTGCCTAGTTTGTATAAAGGATCTTTAAACAGGTTTGGGAGTGAGGGTTAAGCAGGGGCTGGTTAGAGGCAGTTCAAACTACTTAACACTAAGACTTAACACCAGACTGAGAACTGAAGGAAAAGTCATGACTTAATTTTCCCAAAGAAAGAATCTCTTCCTTAAAGTACCAAATACCGGTTTCTCCTTTACCTTTTTCTCTGCTTAGGGGAAAGGCATTTCATAGAATCTCTGGAATCCACAGGGTAGATATTCCTATTTTGATCAATCAAAACTCACCTCACACACACACACACACACACACACACACACACACACACATTTTTATGGTCTTGTAGGTTGTAAAGAACTTGAAAGGTCACACAGGTTCTCTGTTGGGCTATGGGCTATAAGCAGGTTCCAGTGCAGTTCTGATCTACCCATGTATATTTCTCTCTCATCACTCACACTGATCTGTAGGCATTCCTCCCCTCTGACCTTGGGACACATGCTTGAAACTCTTTATTGAAGAATTTGTACTACCATAGCTTATGGAATAATTCAATAGAAATATGTAAGAAATAATACAAAGGCACTTACTGTGCATGTGAAATACTAAGAAAATTTTCTCAGGATGGTTTATTTTATGAGCTCACTTTAAAAAATAGAGAAGCATTGACTCAAAAATGCTTTTTTTATCCACTTTTCACACCTTAACTAGGTTCTAAGTCCTATGAATTTTAAGGTACCTGGTAAAAGGAAGACAGAATATTCCTCTCAAACAAATTATCAATAGCTTATTGAAAATTAGGCTGGGCATAATTGATCACCCATTAACAACCTTTTCTTGCTTTCATGTATTAATGTTCAACAGTCAGCATCTACTCTACCACTTAAACTGCTGAAATCTTAATTTATTCATTTACTTATTAAAGAGAAAAAATTTTTACAAATACTATGACCTAAGAGTGGGGAATCTTGCATTTACCTATTGCCAATGTCAGGTATGTTTCAGAGTAGGGTGAGCAGAACTGGCATAAAAAACTAAAAAACTGGAATAAAAAACTAAGGAATGCTTTGAGAAACGTAAAGACAACTGTGAGCCCCACGGCTGACCAATCCCAAAGCCTTAACTGAGAGACCCAAAGCTGACTGTCAGCCCCTTCATTCCTACCCCGTTTAGGTTAGTGGAGATTCCAGTTTGAGAAGGTAAGAATACCCTCTGACAAGTTGTCTTTTTCCCCCATTACTCAAGGACTCCCCTTAATTCCAGGAGATGAAAACCAAAATTATTCATCCTCTAAATTAGGATTATGGCTCTACTCCTAAAAAAATCAGTACAAGTTCTTTGTAAAGGCTCAAACCAAAAAAACAAAAAAATAAAAGAAAGAAAGAAAGAAGCTTTTTGATTTTAAAAAAGGGTTAAGGTAGAAGAGGAACCTTTAAAAATTCTACGGTGCTATTTTAACTTCTGCCCTTCATTATTTTAACACTGCTTTTTAAAACTAAGGATAACTTTAGTGCAAATTTTAAAAGATCAAACTCATGATAATGTGTACTATGTATTATAAAATTCAGGGAAATTCCAGAGCTGGTTTATTTACAAAATTTTCATGGGAGGGAGCATCTTGATTTCAATTTTAAGTATTACATCAAAGATTTACCATCCATCAAGTTAGTACTGGAAAGCATATAATGGCTTTTTGTGAAGGGAGCTAGGCAATATCTGATTTGAAATTACAGTGGTCTCCTCTAGGCACAGATTTGTTAAGAATTTACCAAAGTACCAGTAACACAATTGTGTTGGCAATATAAAAATACTATTAGCTGTCTTTAAACCAAATTTACAAACTTAATGTTCGGCTCAAAAATTAGAGTTTAAGCTCTCAACGTATTAGATTTGCCTATACTTTCTAAATTTTAGCTATAAAATTGTTAGTATATTCAGGTGTGATAGAGAGCCTACGTATATAAAGAGAACCAGGAACAAGAGAGAGAAAACCAAGGCAAAGATCCACTGGGCCAGGACAAAGAAGTCCATGGTGGTTTCAGAAACTGAATATAAAAGTGTGAAGTTGAAGTGCAACGCTCTAGTGCTCTATTCACAATAGGTAGCCACTCTTTCCTTTCTAAAACTGAACATTTTCAGCACAGTTTTAGAATAGCACGAGTTACTTTTTTTTTGGTTTACAAAGGAATGCATCTGCCTGAACTACTCTGATGAAAAACCATAATCCATTTCTCCCCATTAGCTTTTGACTAAATACTGAAGCTAATTATGCTAGCTTTTTTGGGTTCTCACGGCAATATGGAATTTAAAAGAACACATTTAGTTCCACCACTTTATGCAAGACCGGGCAGTTTCAAAACATCTAAATGCTAAGATGTTAGCACCACACAGATACAGAAGGCTACATACATTTTCTTTACATGGCTAATTAAGACCTTTTGATTTAGAGAGACAGATAACATGGATCCAATAGAGGCAGATAGGCATACCGTTAATATGCGGTCCTCAATTCCCACTGCTTCTGCTCTTAATGCACTTTTAGTCACTACTGCTTGGTTGGGATAGCTTTTCAACATCCATGAATCTCTAGTATTTAAAATAATTTCTTTGGACAACTGTGATCTGCACTAACTGACAGCTCATAGGAATTCAGGGCATGACATTTGTGAATTGCACTGCTTTAAACTTAAGGGATACATAAGCATATAGTTTTAGGGTTAATTTACCTATGGTTTTGTCTGGATATTTTTAAGGAGGATGGGAGATGAAGAGGTGAGGGAAACTGGTGAGAAATAAAGCTTTTTATCCACTTTTCTAGTTTGGTGTCCCTGACAGGATTTCATGGAGAAGGCAATATGCTAGAGAGAAGTCGGGGGCATAAAATCCATTCCTCCAAGTCTTCTTCTATGCCTGAACAAGGGTCCCAAAGCAGAAAGGCTGATGGGCTCGAAGGAAGCTATTTGTACAGAACGATGAAGGCACCGACTTTATGCCTAGGGTAAATTGAAAGGGGCCCAAATCTACTTTAACCTGCTCAATTACCACTAAACCATGTTCATCTGGTCTTAAAGTCACAAATCCCATAGCAATCAAGCTGCCTCCATTCTGTAGGTACTCAAGCTAAACACCTCTTCACGAACTCAAAATTCTGTTTACTCTCTGAAAATGGGAGAATGAGGACTCTTCCTTTCTTGATTACCTACCCAATGTCAAACATAAAATTTACTTTCACAGAGGCTCTGACATTTTTAAATGCCAAAAATATTACTTCCACTTACAATGCATTTTAGAAATCCAAATTAAGATTTGGGATGAAATGCTTTTAATTTGGTTCCTACAGCTCTGGGATTGTGTTAAAATCCAGGCTGGCATAGTTTCACACAGGAGAGTAGGTGTGGAAGGAAGCATGTCCACAAAACGACCTGCTGACTAGTGACAGGGGACTGGGAGGAAGTTCTGGTTTCAAGTCCTTTATCACTAACTGATTCTGTGGCTTTGGGCCCCTCAAATTTCATCTTTAAATTGACAGTCTAAAATGACTTTAGAGGTCCCCCTCAGCTTTAAGCCAGTTAAGTGGCCATATGCTACAGGTGCTAACTGAAAATTATGATAAATAAACTATGAAAGACTTATCAAAGTCCATGTTTGTCTTAGATTAAGTTTGTCATCTTTGTGCTGCTGTGGAGGCAAACCTGTTGCGTCACATAAAATACTCTTTTTCTGACTACACTAGAAATGCAAGAGACAATCGGCTGGCTTTTTAAATTTTTCATTTCTTAAAATGTAAGCAACAGTGTGCCCCCAAGATAGGAAGTTCTCGGGTTTTACCTCTCTAATCTGTAAGTACACACAGGATGCCACCTGGTACCTTCAGCCACATGACTGAAGGCCAGGGTGTGCTGGCAGTTAGAACCTTTTGATCCTCTGTGATCAGTACTTTGCATTTACACCCAACCTTCATTTCCAGCCCAGTCCAAGCTTCAGTAGGGGGCTGTTTAGGACCCTCATTGTCAATGTTCTCAGGGACGATTAACCCATACAGGCCAGTGAAAGAGGAGGTTTGCACACCACCCCACCTGCCCATGTACTTAATACCTATCTCACGTTTTTTATGCTTACCAGAGCACGCAAATTAAAAGCAACGGGATCCAACCTCAGATCTTAATTGACCACATCTACTGTGATAGTAAAAAAAAAAAAGAAAACGAAAGAGCCTTTCACATTGCACCTGGTGGAGGAGGAAAAGCTCTATGCCCCTTTACACTGTAATGTTAGTCTTTAGAGTTTCAAAGGTTTGTCTTTTTCTCCCAGAAGAAGGCTGCCGGGCGGGAGGGGTTTCCAGTACGGAGCACTCACCTCTTTGATCTTTGCCCTCTTCTCACGGATGGCGGCGTCGGCCGGCTCCCTGCCAACCGCCCCAATTGGGGGCACGAAGTCCACCGGGGGCAGCCTCCTGAAGACCGCCTTGTCACGCAGCTGGTCCTGGGCCACCTTCTCCTTCTCCAGCAGGATATCTCTTTGGATCTCCTCGGGCAGCTTCTGCAGGGTCTCCTTGGCTTCCCTGAGAGCCCGCTCGTGGTTTTCGCGGATCCTGGCCAAGTTGTCCTCCAGCGCGGCCGCCGGGTCCCCCGGCGCACCCTCCTCGCCGCGCCTGGCTCGCCCATCTGCCGCGTCCTCGGCGCGCGCCCCGGGCCCGGGTTTATGGTCGGCGGCTGACTGCAGGGCGGGGCTGGAGTGGAATAGGACCCCGCTGAGCAGCTTGGAGGAGTCGGGCAGGAAGAAGATCGCCCCGAAGCAGAGCGTGATGAAGGCGCTGAACACCAACAGCAGCACGAACTTCTCTGTCAGGCGGAAGGCGGCGGGGCCGGATCCCTTCCTGCCGCCGCTGCCACCGCCGCCGAGCCCCCCGCCCAGGCCGCCGCCCAGGCCGCCGCCCGCTGGGCTGCTGAAGAGCGGCAACAGGCCCCCCACCGGCATCCCTCCAGCCGCGGCGGCCGCTGGGGTGCCCGCTGTCCAGTGGCCCTGCGCCGCGCCGCTCAGCAGCCAAACTTCGCCGCCGCCTGGCGTCAGCGGCTGCGGGCCTGGGTCCTGCGCATCCAGGCCGCCCGAGCCCCTAGGCTGGGCTGCAGGTATGCCCTGGGGAAACAACTCTTCTGTGGGTCTTCTCCCACGGGCAGTTCCTTTGGCAAACAAGCACGCGCGACAGACCGCTGGCCGCAGCCCCTGCGGGGAGAGAAACAGTAAAATGTAGTAATTACGATGATGGTGATAAAGTTTCCAGCGGGTCTCCGCCCTCCGACGGCCGTGCAACCCGCCGGGACAGCCCCCACAAGCGCGGAGTCGGGACTCTGGCTCCCGGCACCGCCCTCGGAGCTCACTCTTTGGACTTGGGGTGAAGTTTTCTGGTCCCAGGGGACGGGGTGTCCTGAGCACACCTGGAGCAGGGCCGCGTGCGGGCACCTCCTGGAGAGAGCAACGCACCTCTGGGGCAGGAGGGACGCAGCGCGGGTCGGGGGGCTAGTCAACTTCGCCAGCTCCCCATCTCGGAGCTGGGACTAGCTGCCACTGCTTCCCAGGGGGCGGCTGAGCGCGCAGCCCCGCAGCCCTGGTCGCCGCTCGGCTGGGCTAGCGCGCCGACCCGCGGGCGAGTAGGAGCGAGCAGGGCAGCACGCCGCCCTCCTCCGCGGCCCCGAGAGCACTAATACCACTGCCGGTCTCCGGGCGTTCGGAAACGAGGGCGGTGACGCGTCCGGAGAGTGATGGCGTGGCCGGGCCAATCACGCCCCGCTCAGGGACCCGCGGGGGCGGAGCCGAGGCGGAGAGGGGGCCGCGCGGGGCGGGGAGTTTACGGGAAGCGCAACCTCGCGGGGGCCCGGCCGGGGGCGGGGAGGTCGCGGTCTGGGAGGCTGGAGTCCGGCGGGAGCGGCGGTAGAGAGGCGGTCCAGACCCGCGCTAGAGGCCCGCCAGGGCGCGAGGAGGCGGCTTGGGTTCGGGGTCCGGGAGTGTACCCTGCGCGGTCCGCGGGCCCGGGTCGCAGGGGCTCGTTGGCCTTGAGTGGCTGGGGAGGCGCCCGGACTGACGCAGGACCTCCCTGCCGCCCCCTGGGACTCGTCCCCCAGGCCGTGAGAGGCCCGCTTCGGGGAGTCCCGCGAAGGGCAGGTCTCGCTGAGAATCGTCCGACGCTGGGTCGTTCTGAACGGGTCTTTTCTCCAGTTCCCTCTTTTTACCCAAGACGGGGATTCCCCCGGTGCCTGATAGCAGTCCACCCAAAAGTCCCCCGTAGAGATGCTGCGATCGGAAAGCATTTGAGCTCTTGAGTCTAACATCCTTTTACGTCCTAAGACACTCATCGTTTTGTGGTTGCTTAGGATGCTTCTTCCTCTGCATCCTTTCCCCACCCACTTGAAGAAAAAAAGTTGTGTACCTCCCCCACCCACTCCCACTTTCAAAATTCATTTATCTCATAGAAGTTGGTCAAATTTTCCATTTAAAGAAGACAGTTTGGGGCGCCCTGGGTGGCTCAGTGGGTTAAGCCGCTGCCTGCGGCTCGGGTCATGATCTCAGGGTCCTGGGATCGAGCCCCGCATCGAGCTGTCTGCTCAGCAGGGAGCCTGCTTCCTCCTCTCTCTCTGCCTGCCTTTCTGCCTGCTTGTGATCTCTCTCTGTCAAATAAATGAATAAAATCTTAAAAAAAAAATAAAAATAAAGAAGACAGTTTTATGCCATAGCTTCAAGTAATAAATTTGAACACTGTTGAAATTAAGTCTTGGATGCAATCACTTTCAGGGAAATAAGGACTTTGGTCCAACAGAGATTGTTTTCAAGACAGCATTATTTTCCAAAATGTGTTTGTAATTTCCCTGTTGCTCTGGGGAAAAAAAAAAAAAAGAAAGAGAGAGAGAAAGGAAGGAAGGAAGGAAGGAAGGAAGAAAAAAAGAAAAAGAAAAAAGAAAAAAAGGGGGGTTATCACAGAGTAAAAAGTTGACTACTGAATTCTTATTTCTGAAAGCTAGTTTGTAGCAGCCTTATCCTATGCCTCCCCTGTCTCTGGAAATTTTTTGATTTCCAGTGATTTTAACTCTGCTTCTGCTTGCCATTTTTAAAACAAAGGAAACAGCTGGCAGTTTACAGGAAGGTGCTTACAATACGGTTGTTTCAGGTGTAGACTCTATGAGAAAATACAAAAATAAATAAAAAATCCTTATTACAGTTTTCATTTAGCTGTTCATTTAAACCATCATTTGTTGTATATTTGTTTTGTATAAAATGAGTCATACCCCCAACCTTTCTGTTAATAGGAAATTGTTGTTTGATAAAACTGACCTTATGGCTTGGTTATTCTGATAATTGCTATGAAATTCTATGCCCAGAAGAGTGCAGCATATCCAAGCAGGGTAACAAAGTTTAGAAGGATGGAAAAAAGAAAACGAATTTTTTAAAGTTAAATGATGGAAATTTTTATTTCAAACTATATTTGCAAGTTGTGGATAGGCTGAAAAGTTTGAATCGGTGTGAAATAATATTGTTTATTTTCAACAGCTTTAAAATTCAGTTACCTCATGAATAGAGAGGTAATAATTAGGGTTAATACCCTAAAAGATAATCCCTTTATGATCTTTTCCTGAGGATTTATTATTTTAATTATTATGTTTTAGGAATGGAATTCTCTCTTATAGCCACACAAATATTTAGAAACTTTAGTTTAAAAATAGTATATTAAGTATTCCAGAAAGGCAATAAAAACTACTTTTAAGTGTATGTTAAAATGGTGATAAAAAAAGGGTTGTAGACCTAATTCTACTTCTGGTGCTCTTTAATTTTGATACCAAACCAGTCTGGACATTTAACCTATTGCTTGTAGTGGAAATATTCCAAATTTAGCATATGGTCTTAAAGATGATTTTTTCCCCTAAAAACTTTAAATTTGATTTATCTATATTGTGTTTACATCTTTTAAAGTGACTGCCCTGTTTATTTCTGTTCCCCTTTATGAAGGTTACTTTAAGATCACTTTATTAATACCTGTATTTCTTATAAAACGGATTTATTATGAGTGAAGCCTGGCTTTAATGATTTGTTAAACAAGAAAATAGCATGGGTGGTTGATTATAGGATATGTTTTAAATGGGGCCAGTCTGTCTTAGGTAGGATGAGAAATATGTGGGAGTGTTCATATCTGGGATATAGCAAGTTAAAAAAAAATCATAGAGAAGGTATTTGAAGGGACATACCAACTAAATTAACCATGCAAAAACTTTTAAAATAACCACACAAAGCCCTGTATATTCATGGTAAAGAAAGAATATTGGATGGTTAGTAAATTAGAAATTGCATTTTGTTGAAGCAAAATCTGACACTTTGCCTTGATTTCAATACTATAAGCACTTCTCATTTCACAGTTGGAAAAACAATGTTTTATATCTTGAGATAAAGAAAAATATGGGTGATGGTTCTGATCTCCAAATAATAAAACCTTGACCCTGTCCCATAAATCCATACTCACCCACCACACCTACTTGAATATATGTCATGATTTTTGTGAATACAGTGGTTGTGACAAAGTTGCTGTTTTTTCTTTATGAATAGTCTAATGCAAACTTAGCAACCTTAGTAATTCTGTGTGGCTTTTCTGTTTAAATACTTGCTGTGTTTTCTGATTTGGCCAGCTAGTTCTGAAGTATGACTTCCTAGTACCTTTTGCAAATTTACCTACAAACCTAATTCTTATTTTTTCCTTTTCCAATGCTTAGATCTGTATCTTCTTTTCATAATTTGTAAATTTTTGTGTTTCAAGATAAAACCTTTAGAATCAAGTAATTTTTTAAAAACTGATTTTGGTTACTGATATCCCCCCCAAGGTGCAAAGAAATCCCCAGGTTATTTGGCTGCTTGGATTTCTGTGCTTTTTTTTTTTTTTTTAAAGATTTTATTTATTTATTTGATAGAGATCACAAGTAGGCAGAGAAGCAGGCAGAGAGAAAGGAGGAAGCAGGCTCCCTGCTGAGCAGAGAGCCCGATGTGGGGCTCGATGCGGGGCTCGATGCGGGGCTCGATCCCAGGACCCTGGGATCATGACCTGAGCTGAAGGCAGAGGCTTTAACCCACTGTGCCACTCAGGCACCCCAGATTTCTGTGCTTTTAAAATAATATCTAACAAAAGGTATGTTTACGTTTTATATTAACATGCCAAAAACTAAATATAGTAATAAGTATAAACAGGGTTAGTGGGGAGTGACAATGTTTTTATAAAAACTATGGTGAATGACTATTTTATAAAGTTGTAAGTTCCAAAAAATTAAAGTGCAAAAATATTTTTTAATATTTTTGTTTATCTAGAATTTATCTATTATTTCTTAATATCTTATTTATCTAAAAGGTATTAGGTAGAAGTTTATGGAAGAATCCTTTTGAGAATTTGTCTTTGATTTAAAAATAAAAAGTAATATAACAAAAGAAATACACTTAACATACGTGTGTAAGAGTTAACTACTGAAATTGTCCAACACATTAGATTTCTGATAAAATTTTCCTGTTGCTGATTTTCTACTTGTCTTCAAATTTCAGGTCAGAATAGGTTTTGACCTTTATTTTTAAAAAATATAATATATAAAAAAATAGTTCATTGGAATATTAATCATGAATTTTCAATCCTTCGTTGGGCAACTCTGAATTTTACATGACGTTTATTAAGATAAGAATTAACCAAAGTTACAAAACAAACGTTAGTAATATTTGTGGTCATTTGAGGAGCCACAGCTACAGCTCTGGTTCTTTTTCTCCCACTCCTCAATTTACTTTGGAACTGGCTGTATAATAGATTATTTTTATAAGGACTCCAATCACCTTTGTGTATGTGTGGAAGGGGGTGGTAAGAGGCTGAATCAATGAGACCCCTCTGTCCCTGCATGCTCCTGTTGAAACATCTATTTTTGTTTTGAACACTCATTTCATAAATATTAGCAGTCCCCAACTTAAAAACATTGTGTTCCACCACGTATTTGTACATTAGCTCTTTGGAACTTTCAGAGTGCCTCTTTCCATAGAAACAAAGTTGTAAATGGTGCTGTGGGTTGTAGTCTACTCTACAAAGATCCAAGATGCTAGGGAAGAATGAAATGTTGGAAAAAACACTGATGCAATGTTAGTAATCAAAGTAGCATTAAATTAGAAAGTGTTTTATTTATCTTGAATGTTGGAGCTTGAGGACAAACATTTATTTGAAAGAAAAGGAGATAGAATGATTTTTTTCAGAAAGATTCTAAACCTACTTTCAAGGTCGGAAAGTAAGTATATGGAAGTTCTTAGGTAGAGTTTTCTTTCATTACATGAAGCTTTCTTCTGGTTTTAAGACTTACAAGAATTACTTTTATGATGTTTTTGTTTTTTTGTTTTGTTTTGACGTGATTAACAAAAGGACTGAAAAAGATAAGTTGGAGATTTTTCTGAGTTAAATAGGCAAAAGTTTGAATGAGAGAGTGATTTATTATAGAGGACATGCCTGTCCTTGGCTCTGTGACCATGCGTGATAAGTTGCCTATCTTCTACATGTCTCAT